CTCTGACCAGTAACGTATGAGAGTTCCTCATGTTCTACATCTTTGCCAGTGTTCACTGTCGTCAGTCTTTTTCATTTTAACCATTTGAATGTGTGTGAAGTAGTTTCTCCTAATGGTTTTAATTTGCCTTTCCTTGATGGCTAATGATGTTAAACACTCTTTCATGTGCTCGTTAGCTACTTATGTATCTTTTTGTGAAGTTTCTGTTCAAATCTTTTACCTATTTTTAAATTGGATTTTCAAAAATATATTTTGGAGCTATAGAAGTTCATCATATATTCTGGACATGAGTTCTTTACCATATACATGTGTTGAGAATATTTTTTCTTAGTGTGTGGCTTAACATTATCTTATGATGAACAGAATTTTTTATTTTAATTATGCAATTTATCAGTTTTTTCTTTTACGGTTAGTTCCTTCTGTATCTGGTCTAAGAATGAAGTTACAATAACATACTATATTAAGCCTTATAAAAACATCAGTACATTCCAAGATCTGGAAATAGCATAAACCACATTCTCTGAATACAATATAATAAATCATGAGTAGAAAGTAAAATAGACCCAGTACTTGGAAAATGTAGTACAATCAGTCTGAATATAAAATTCAGTTGATTATGTTACCAGCCCCAGCATCTTATAGACATGGAAAGATAAATATACCGACTGAATACAGGTAGATCTTCTCTCTTACCAAAACACAAATCAGGGTAGAGGCCACTAAACCTGCCCATCTATACTTTCCACTTTTTATTCTTTACTTTCGGCTTCATAAAACATAGCCTGAGATAATCTTAAATTTTCTCTCTGAATCCCTACTTACGTAGAATTCTTTTCTCAAAGTCTCTTCCCTAAAAGGGCATGACTAGATTTTTTTCAAATGGTTTTTAAATGTGGCTTGTTTTAATATTTGTCACTGGCATCTGGAAATTGCTTGCTATTTTGTAGTTGTTCCTTCTATTTTAGCAATGTGATTTTTTTCATTTCTTAGATTGACTAAATGTGGAAATGGAACTTGAATTGTTTTGAGTGAATTTGGTTTTCTTTTTTTTAATGATGACATTCCAAGGAGGCATTATTTTAAAAATTAATACCCTTTTTATTCTTCTTAGGACTGGGAATATTTACTAAATTCAGACTACCACCAGAATGTTGAGTCTCATCTTTTGAACAGATCTTTATGTTTGAGTCCTTCGGAAGTTTCACGGATGAAGGATGAGGGTATTTCACAGAACCTCAGTCTGGATTCCTCTACGCTTCTCTTTACTCATATACCTGCAATTTTTTTTGTTCTTCACCTTGTCTATGAGGAGCTGAAGTTGAATACTCTAATGGGAGAAGGGATTTGTTCACTTGTTGACCTTCTCGTTCAGTTGGCAAGGTAAATTTTGTTTGTAGATTAGAAACTGCCAGGAGATACTTAGATGACTGTCTTTTCTCTGATATCATATAGGAACCTTATAAGTACATTCTGAAATCTATCTTCTCAGAAAACTAGAGTATTTTCTATAAACCCAGTACTTGGAAAATGTAGTGCAATCAGTCTGAATATAAAATTCAGTTGATTATGTTATCAGCCCCAGCATTTTATAGACATGGAAAGATACCAGTTATGTAAGGGCCTGTGGGTCATGCTGGGATTTTTAGTCTTTATCCTAACAGTAGTGGAAGGTCACAAAAAAATGGGGATTCATTTTGACAAGATGACTGGCTACACCATGGTGGAAGTTCTGTAATTACATCTGCTGTTTTGTAATAATACCTACATTCAAGTAGTGCTTTATAGCTTACTTATAAAGTGTCAAAAAGTGTCAAAGTAGGTATTATGATCCCTATTTTAGTGTTAAGGAAACTTTCCCACGTTTGTTTCTGAGAGCATGAGTGATGTATGCTAGTTGTGGACTGTCTTTGCTGTGCTTTCCTTGTTGCAAACTGTGGTCATTCCTGTCTTTCAGGCACTCATAGTGGATCCACAATAAGATAGCTCTAATAATAGGTTACAACTATCTTTTTAGCACCTGTGTTTGGCTCTGAATTCTAAGGGTCATACTTAGGTGCTATTTGAGCCTCTGTGACCCTTAATGATAAAGAAGTTGTATTTGAAATTAAATTGTCAACCTCTGAGTTAAGATTATAGCACATTTTTGAATTTCTATGATCCTCCTTAAGATCCTGAAATTCTTTCCTGAGACATAGCAGTTTTAACTGATGGTAGATTTCACTTATGACATCATTCCTATTATGGAAATTCTTTTGTAACTAAATAATTTCCAAACATAGCTGTCTCAAATAAGTAACAATTGTGTCATATTTTACATTTTATAAGGTATT